AGCCCACGCCCGCACGCAGATCCCTTCTACATCTCCTCCGCGGCATGGTAGACCTGCGTAGCGAGCCGTCGGCGATCCCGCCGCCCAAGACAGCGCCGAGCGAATCAGCCACCACCGCTAAACCTAGTTCTGACTCTGACCAGGATCACAAAAAGCATCTTGCATGGATCTACCCGCTTGTTGTGCGGGCCGTGCAAGTTGCCGGAAAGGAACAGGATGATGGTGAAGTTTTGCATGCTCTCGGGAAGATTCTTCAGGAGGTTCATGGTGGTAGTGCTGCTGCTGGTTATTATGTATGATGTATAGGGCTTTCCATATGCCAGTTGTAGTTGTTGTTTTTGCCTTTTTTTCGTATATGATGTTTTGAGCTCGTTGGGACATAAGTATTACATAGACGATCGTGCCATCTAGCAAGCGTTGACGCTGTTGTTGTCTGTCCTTGGTTGGTTGATTTGTGTCTACTGGACTTTTCTGTATGACTAGGTTGCTAATGGTACTGGGTTCGATTTTACTTCGTGCTGAGCATTCCTCAGGTCGTCTTAGATCGGGTTTTTCATCTTAGTAGCATTGACACCATAGTCAGGTTATAGGACCAGGTTGTTCTCATCTCATGTCACCACGAAATTTACAAAAAGGTAAAAAAAAAAAAAAAAAAAAAAAAAAAAAAAAAAAAAAAAAAAAAAATCAAATACGGACCAGATCAAACAGTAAATTTCATGTTGCTGAGATTTCATCATAACACAGGGAGAAATACAGCCAGACATAGGTTAATACACAGAAGGGTATAATGGGTAAGGGTTAGGTAACATCAAACGGAAGTCTGACACAGCACAGCACGGCACGGCATCAGCATCAGTAGTAGCCCATGAACAAAAGACGATCTATTTCGCTACAGCTTGAGACGCGGACACAGATTGGATTAAGCCGCGGGGATTTGCTGAGTGAACTGAGGCTGGGTGTCAGTTCGTCCGGGGCCGGCCGTCGCAGAACCGGCGGGCAGCTGTTGCTGTTGCTGCTGCTGTTGGAGGAGCTGCTGTTGTTGGATCTGTTGCTGCTGGGCGATTTGAGGAGTGATGGCGATCTCGGGAGCTTGACGGTAGAGGACGATTTCGGATTGCTTGAAGTAACGGCGAGCGTCTGTAATAGAAAGACCCGGGGTGTTAGCACGATGGGTGTTTGAATGTGACGATCGAAACTTCCGGAACGCAAGGAAAACGGGAGGGAACTGGGGCCGGTGGGGCTACCACGCGAGACCAGAATAGTTTGAGGTTTAGCGTGGGGGTTAGTCACGGGGGGGTAAACACCCCAACTGTGGCCACTGGCCAGATTGCAGCTTTTCGGCCCGATTAAGGGTATCAATAGCCGACCGGCTATTGACTTGGGTGGTGGGATGCCGTGGGATGGATGTTGGCTATGGAGGAAGTGGGCCAGCTAGCTAGCCACCACGCTTTTGCAACCCAGAGCCTGGTCTCACATGCGTGGGATGGCCGATATGGTTATCCCACGCCAGACGGGATTCATGAACGGCAGTCGCCAAACAAGGCTAAAACGCAGATGAAACGCAGATGGATACAGTATCACGTACCTTCGTCGATAAGTACCAGGCTGAGGTAGTAGCGCGTCGAATACTTCTTGTTCACGTCGCGGAATGTCGGGGTAAGGTCGAATCCTCCAAGGAACAGACGGATGGGGATGGTTTCACCTACAAACAGGTCAGGGGAGATGTTCTGTTGTGATAATACCGCAAGTGTGACGTGTTGCGATGTCTGAGAGCCAGGTGAGTCCGAGCCACCGACTTACCTCGGGAAGGTGATCCATCCATGATCTGCGTGCGGCAGGTTAGTGCTTTGGACCTCATGCAGACATTCTAGTTGTATGCAGACTTACCTCGAAGCGCACGAGCGTCTCGCTCTCGTTATACTGGTTTGGCGGAGATCCGGTCGTCTCACGACGGATGATGGATAGCTCCATGTGTTTGATCTTCAAGCGCACGAGCAGGAAATAGATGCGTCCTACGATCACATCCTTGAGGTGGTACTTGGATTTGGAGTATTCGAACTCAATGTGCAGGCAGTCTTCGATACCGACGTCCATCTTGATGGGGCTGTTGGTCTCGGGGGGCATGCGGTAGGAGTAGACCCAGAGGTCCTTCTCCCGAATCACGTCCGCCATGCGCCTGGATACTGTCACGCGGACGAAGTATCGTAGCTTAACATTGATACCGTTGTATGATTCGTATTGCTTCTCGATATTTTTGAAGTTGAACGGGAAGGTCTGGGGGTGCTGCAGTTCTCCGGGAGCCGCAAGCTCCTGTACCAGCGACAGGAATTCGTAATGGTTACCGCGGTCGTAAAACATTTCTGATCGAACAATTGCATGTTAGCATCGAGACTTGAAGCCTTAGAGCAACTGTGGAGTGGGGATGACGATGAGGCATGCCCGCCCCCTCATCAGAGCCATTGTTCCATACCGATCGTGCCAATGAATTGCACTTTGATGCCCGTGTGTTCCAAACGCTTTCCATCCTTAGGTCTGACCGTCACAGCACCCTTGACAGACTCTCCGTCCATGTAGAGGGGAACCCTTTCGCGACGGCCCTTGTCGAGCTTGACATCAACCGTCTGACGCTCATCGCTGTCTTCGAGGACCACATCGATGTCGACGGGAGTGGAGAAGAAGAGGGAGGTCATCGTAGGCGAGGAGTTCGATGGCGAGGGAATATATAATAAGTTCAATCAGCTGGAACGAGCGTAGAGTACTTGGTGAATCGGCCTATGGAATGCGATATCACACAATGGCCATGTCGCACTCAGCTTCATCTGGTTAGGCGGCATCCCGACTGCCTGGCGGTGGGCAACCTGGCATATCACTGCTTAGGTAAGCAGTACTATGTCATCCGCAACTATACCGCTATCACCACATAAAAGTCTTAGTTGTCGCTTATTAGAAGGGAAAGCTCTGCTTTTAGAGGCCGTTCAGGAAGTAGAAAGCTGGAGAATTCATTATGCAGTGGCTGATCGCGACAGAACTGCCATACCTGTTAGGTAAGGGAGAGCCGGATATGTCAAATTAGAAGAACAATGTACTGCTCCTACAATCCATGACACGATTGACATGGCACAGACGGAGAAATTTACCATTCGTGTTCGAGGCAAATTTGTCCGCCATCAAGGGTCGTGCAGCATATGACCGATTCTACGATGACACTACGAGAATGAGCCGGACGACAGCGCATGCTAAACCCGTGGGCATTGATTGAACGGCCATCTAACTCCTGTCAGTCAGGAGGGGTAACCGCATCATCTGCCCGCCAGCGTTGTTACACCTCTGTGCGCATGCAGACTGCTGTTTATGCTTGATCACAGTCTTAGACAGGCAGTCATCGGGCACATAGTCAACAGAAACACATGTTCTATTGGTAGGAATATGCAAAGAGCCGCGGGCCCGTAACCTTAATTGGCATTGCTGGAAACATGTTTCCGTGTTGTTGGATGTACCAAGTAGAGTATCTAGGTTGTACTGCACGTCGTGCTGGCAGCAAGACTGCCTGATTCCTCCCAAGGAAGGAAGTTCGTCGGGGAATTCGACATCTGCATTATTTGACTCGCATGCCAGCAATCAGAGTTTCCCCGGACTGAGCCGCGGCCATCCATCTGCACGCCACAGTCCCAAGCGGTGAGTATGCAGGATCAATCAGCGGGTGCCAGATATGTCCGCATGGGTTCTGACTGGTTCCTGGGAGGAATGGCGGTCTTCCGCAGCTTATTTTCTTTTGCTCAGTCCATGGCTAGCAGGGTAACACAGAGAGGCAGCAAAGTTCCAGCGAAAGTAACACCCGTGAGTTGTTGAAGACCCTGATTTGACCTGTCGTCTGGCCAAGTTGGGCCAGACTAGGCAGGCTTGATGGCCGTGGAGGCCACGGGAACGAACATCGGCAGGTTGAAGGTTCTTTGTTCTCCAGTCGGATGAGAGAGGGTAAAAAGTTGAGCTTGGCGCGGGAAAAGATTCTGTAGACTAAGTCACTTCAACCTTTAACCGTTGTTTTATCTTATCTGCAAGGACCGGGGTAGACATTGAAGCCCCTGTTCTTGTACTCGGGACCACTTAGCAAGAGTATATGGCCTGGAAAGCGCACCGTGGAAAACGACCCTTTTGGGGACGGTGACCCAATACCAGGTTGGGAATAGCGTGGGGGTTCGAGCCATTACCCGTCCCGGTACCGTCAGAAACCAGAAACAGACGTACAAAATTACGGTTCCGAATCCCCGGTTGCAGCAGACCCAGTGACATCATGGCGGGAAGACCGGACAAAGTCAGCCAGCAACATTTCATTGGGTGACACAGGAAAGTGATGGTCTCACTGAGCTGACTGGTTCCTTCCCGGGCAAAATTCCCCTGTTCCTGCTGCTGAAGAGTAAATGAGGCAATAAGGGGGTGGGAAAGGGAATGCGCGCGTACTTTTTATTATTCTCTCAGGCTTGTATGGAAGTGTGTACTACGTATGCGACAATACAAGGAGAGGTGTTTTGCTACCGATCGGATCTCCCGCTAATGACCAGACCGCCGGACTCCTGAAAGTTGACTTGGAGTGAGTCTCCCCCACTCGCCCGTTTCGCTGCTCAATATCCCCCCCACTCGGAATGCCCTACTTCTTTTGCGCCTGCAAATAGTTTTCAGCTGCTTTGTGATTCGATGGCGGATGTGGTTTGGATCGGTCCCCGACTAGTAGTATTCACCACCAGCCCATGACGATGCGGTGGAAACCCTTCTGGCAATTTCCGGCCCCAACCTGCTATTAATTCATTACTCAAAGCCGGGCTCTCATATTTGAGTTGAGAAAAATCAAAGAAAATCAAGAGAAGGAATTATGAGAAATTGGCAGTCCCAATGAGATGACTGTGCCCGACAAGGTGACCCACTTGCATTTCATACTTGAAGGAGATTTATTGATTTATTGATTTGTTATAAACTGCCCTGAAATCTATCTATCTAGTATTTTTTATGATCTAATTCCCCTTCCTCTTGCTTGGTTCCTTTTTTTCATTCCTCTCTCTCTCTCACTCTTCCCCCTTGCCTTTATACTACTTATATACCCCAAGTCACTGCCGAAGACCCCATTACCCCATACTGTCCATACCACCACCACTACCACCACTATATTCAATTACCGCAATCTTCTCCTCATTCCTCGTCGGGTGACCACTTGCGCCGCTATAGGCTATTCGCATTCATCCAACATATTATACGTCCCACCACTACTACTCACTTCTCCCGGGTGGATAAAACTGGACTGAATTACACCCAACCCTATTTATCCCACGGTTCGCAAGGACGTCATACCTAACTTCTCAACTCCCTCACCTCTCAAGAACCTTTCTACTTGCTCCACCAACATTATCATCACCACCATGCTCTCCGCCGGCGAACGACCCCAACAACCCACAATGACCAATGCAGCAGCGGCAGTAGTAGATTCCACACGCGGTCCCGTCAGCAAAAGCCCATTGACCAACTCCGTGGCCAACTCCATGTGGGGAAGCACCAGCAGCAACACCACCACCACAACACCGCCGGCAGACCAAATCCAACACATCTGGGTGGTGACGGGGCCAGCAGGATGTGGGAAAAGCACAGTAGGCAAGGGGATTCAACAAGAACTTAGCATTCCTTTCTTAGAGGGTGATGATGTACGTACAGCCAACCAACCAACCCTACCTAACATACCATAACCACACCCACAACCACAACCACACCTAACTAACCAACCAACCACCCAACAGTTCCACACCCCCAACAACAAAGAAAAAATGTCCAACGGCATCCCCCTCACCGACGCCGACAGATGGGACTGGCTCATCTCCCTCCGCCAAGCCGCCATCGAGGCGCTCTCCCCCTCCGAAACTAACAACTTCCACCCACCCTCCGGCGTAGTGGTTGCTTGTTCAGCCCTGAAGCAGAAATACCGGGACGTGATGCGCGTCGCGGCGTACGGATCCCCCTCGGTACAGATCCATTTCATCTATCTCAAGTTGGATGAGACCATGTTGTTGCAGAGAGTCATGAATCGACAGGCCCATTATATGAAGAGTAGTATGGTGCAGTCGCAGTTGCAGGATCTCGAGGAGCCCAAGGGCGAGTGGGATGCCCTTACGGTGGATGTGCGGGCTTCGCAGGCGGAGGTCCAGACGGAGGTGTTGGAGTTGGTGAGGGATACATTGGCCAGGTATCGCTGATTGACCACCTGTGTCCGGGGGGAGAAGTGTGTATGTTGTGAGTGTCTCTGTGCATGATGGATTTATTTGACCTTTCTGGGGTTTTTTGTGTATGGAGTTGGGTATGATATTTGCTTTTTCATATGCATTTTGGGGGTCTGATCTGTCTTTTCATTGATTTCTGATATGGGAGTCTAAACTCTGGATTGATGCATTTTACTTCTTGTTCGGGTTTGTTGATTGATACCTACCTACCTACCACATACCTATGTCTTATCTACATACGACTATATTTAGAAATGTCACAAAGATTACAACTTTCTAGTACATAGCAATATGCACTCCTCCTGCCTTGGATATAAATAAATAAGAGTGGACGGATACTTATAACAATATATAGACATGATATAGCTGCTGGAGTCGGACTGGACGGGCTTTAGCTACTAGCCTAGTAAGTTCGCCGAATTCATGCTGCAGGCAAGGCAGCGGGCCAGCCGGCTGCGACACTCGTTTATATCTACCATGGATGAATACTGTACACTTCACATTACTTTTCATTGTGTTTTGGTTTGTGCTCAGCTACATACAACAACGACCGACTTTCCTACGTCGCGGCGTTGCATTGCTTTGGGATAATTGTGAGTTTGAGGGGGGGGGGCTGCTTTGTAGGCGTTCGGGGGCGATATTCTTTGCTTGAAAAGGGTGAAGAAGCACTTGCATAGCTAGCAGCTTAATTAGTCCGGCTCGATCGGGTATAAGAATGTGAATTGATATGGTTTGAATACTAGCCTAGTAAGTGTGGGATGGAATGAGAAGAAGGGCCCAACTATTAAACTACTATGTTACGTCATGCTCCGGTTGGTTGGTGGTTTAGTCTACATCATTGCACTCTTGGTACAGAGTAGCTGCATGGGGAATTAGTTAGAGTGCTGCTGAGATAGACATCAATGGGAGTTACCGATTGTGGAAATATAAAGTGTACGCTGTATTAAGTAGATCATTTCATGAGTATGTCATTGACCTATACCCTTACGAGTGTGTATCATTCTGTTGTCTTTATCGCTAGCAGATCGATGTAAGCAACAATAAAGCAAGCGGGCCATTTGAAAAGAAGACAAGTCTCAGCAAATACCACCGTGATAGAATGTGAAATAGACAAGAGGTTCTGAAATAGCATTCGACCCATCCTTGATATCCCTGTCTCTTCTACTAAAGAATTCTGAGCTAGACTAGCAGACGAACATGGTAAAACTGCAAGCCGGCACAACATCGGAAACACAGAGTCAAGGCCACTTCAAGATGTAGGATATACTATCATTACTTGTTGATGTATCGTTGCCCACAATTGACTATACCTCTAGTCTTCACAAGAAAGGCTCGTCTGTGTCCTGCACAGGACTTCTGGGCACATTCTTGTTGGGAATGAGAGGCTGCTGTTCTTCCGTGAAAGGATCCCACTCAGTCGACTTTCCTATGTTACCGCAGAAGATCTTCATCCAGCTCTCAAATTCATTTCTCTCATCGCTTTTCTTCAAGTCGATTGTCTTACCTCCGGGAAGTAGGGGAATGAGACGCCGACTGGGATCTGGATCCGTACACCGTGCAGCGATATCACGAGACAAAGAACTAGCATCGGCTCCGAGGGCTGCGGGCTCTTCACACCGGTGGACATAATAAAACAACCTGACACTCGTAGTAAAGGCCACCACAACAGGTCGTCCTCTAATACTGACAGTATAGTTCCATTTTTCCGTTTTCTCTCGTTGATGAAGCTGGCGCAGAGTATGCTTCATCGTCAGGTCCCATTCCTCGGGACTTTCGTCACGCACATGGCGCAGAACGCAATACAACCCATTGCAATTATCCATGACGAGCTCACGGTACCTAGGGGGTAGAAGGCAACGGAATGTCGGGCCGCGAATATGAACGATCAAATAGTCCGAAGTATCCAAACCACTATTGAGCTGGTAGTTTCGCGCAAGATACCTGCCCCAGCCATCTTCGACAGACCCGACGTATGTGTGTTCTTCAATGTTGAATAGAAGCTCGGGTTCTTGGATCTGACTGCCGCCATAATAGTCATAGTACATCCTGCGGAGGAGGTTAGATACCCAGAACCCAATTGACCAGCAAAACTTACTGTTCGGGCATGTCTATCTGCTTTGTATAAGGGGAACGTCTGTGGTCCACCTCTGAGAATACCATGCCCACAGAATTCAGAATACTTTGACGAGTGTGATCGGCTATTCCGATCACAGGATTCAACTTTAACTCATCGTCCTTGAGGGTAATAGGGAACCACGAATCTTCATTGGAATGCCTTACTTGGGAATTGCTCTTCTTTCCCGAGTGCAGATTTTCCAAGACGAAGTTTTGTTCGGCACTGTCAAAGCCCACAACAGCATAGTCATCGTTCAAGCGAAACTCGCGGTTGCCGGTTCTTCGGCAGTAAGATGACACTTCACCAAGCGCGCGATAGGTCCGCGTATCGGAGAATTTCATGATGGCTCCAAGTATTTCATTGGGGAATACGCGCGACTTTGCATGCTTCAGGTTTTGATATGTAGCCGCGTCAAAGAAACGTAAGACCGCGAGAAAAGCATTGGTGTGCGTCTTATTCCCTGAACCATCACCAGTAGACTCTCCGTCATCGTCATCATATCCCATATCGTTCGATATATCTGAACCGCTTGCTGGGTATTCAAGCTGAGATCCCTCTTGTAACTCAGAACTAGCAGCATCTTCGCTTCCATCATCGACATCCAGTGAATAGACCGGGCCGAAACCATGATCATCGTCAACGACAGGGTCTTCATGTACTGACAGATGTGACTCCACAGGCTCAGAACTCGAAGTTTGGGGCTCCCGAACAGAGGCGGCCACATCCTCTGCACCAGAAACTTCCTCGTGGCTAGGGCTAGCGATGTTTTCTCGTGTAGACTTTTCTGAATCACACGGACTGGCCAACTCTAGGTTCTCAAAGTCATTTGTGAATTCCTCGGCTGTGCATGTATCTTCCTGCGCAGGGTAAGGAGACGACACCCTTGTTCGAGGGCCATTCGCAAATCCTGAGTTGTTATCGTCAAACTGTATCAGTGTGGTAAGAGGAGACCTGCTAACATGCACGGTTCCATCCGGACACTTTTGAACACGAAGCAGCACCACATCTAAGATGGAGAATACCATGGCATGGAAATCCTTTAGTCCCTGCCTGAGGCCAGTTTCCACAACTTCGGTAACGGATGCCTCCTCGACCTCGACCAGATCCAGTCTAGTAACCAAGTACACAAGGACATTCCTAAGCCAGTAGATTTTGCTACTGGGTGCTGAGCCAGACTGGGTACCCGGAATGTGAGACTCGTGTAGAAACTGTGGAAGAACGGTTGGCAGATAGCCGGGCGCAGTCAGTTCGGGGGAAACATCCTGTCGAGCCAGGTAGTAGCCTTCTGTCTGGTGGTTTTGGTCCAGGCTGCTAGCGCACTCAAGTGTTATTTCACCAGCAGCAATGGACAGTATGGCAAAGGCTATCTCCCTGAACGAGAAACAACTGGGATCCCACTCTGGAAGATAGGCATCCAGGACAGGTCGATACCTATGGTGCATGCGCGTAAAGATGGCAGCCAGTAGTGACTCGCGTGCATCAATGATGTCTCCTTGGTCGTAGAATGATTCCAGTGGAGCGACCTGAATGTCCAAGTGGCTATACCTATCTCTTGAGGCACAATCTACCTCCGGTTTCCAGCTAAAATTGGCGACAACCCCTCCAGGTGTGCACCGATCAGCTGCCCGACGGCCTCGACCATCTTGTCCAAGATACTTTATCCACCCCCCTGCACGGGGAAGTCTGGCTAGGTGGAGATGGAGGGAATTGTCAATAGTCAATACCTCCCGGTCTAAATCGAGGGTGTAGGTCCATTCAATGTTCCACGCATGCATCAGCTCCGGGACGATTGTCTGTAGTGGGGGAAGTTGTAGTCGATCATCGATGGCCCAGAAGCTCTTTCCGTAGCGCTCTTTCAGAGCCACGCTCGAGTACTCCTCTCGGGCGCTTTGAACCTTGACTGGAAGAGTTTGTGTCTCAAACCGGTGAACGAGCTGAGCATAGACCTTTCGCATAAATCGAAGCCATTCTAACTGGATGTTAGTTACGTCTTAGGCGAACAACTATGGACTTGCCTTGATATTTCTCCGGGTCTTCAGGTATTTCATTCAAGATGGCGTCGCCTAGTCCCTCCGGATAACTGTCGAATTGATTGTAATAGACGAAGTATCTACCACGGCAGCGGATAAAAAAGAGGCCCCTGGTTCCCATAGTAGCTAGGTGGTTGCTTAACAGACCATGAGATGAAAAGTGTAAATCGACTGAGAGTTGAAGAAGATACGGGAGAGAAAGTGTAGATTAAGAGAGCAGCAGGTTGAAAGGTGTTGAAAGAGGGAACAGGCGGGGTGAGAGTGGGAAGCCAACTACAATTAAGTACATGCAGACGGCAGCCCGTTTTGGAAGCCACCCTAATTCACTGCATTCACTTCAATACGCGCGCGCCTGAATGAGACACTGTCAAAACGCAGATCCACGGTAATTTACGCTGATGCTTGGCTGATATTGATTCCGGTGTTTTTGCAAAGGAAAGAATAGAATACGACTTCCCATTGAAGGGAGGAGGCAGCAATGTGAGATAGGCATCTACCGTGGAAGCTCCCGATGCCTCGGAAACACCTTCGGAGCTTACCTTAGTAGCCAGTAGTAATCTACAGTAGTAAGTACTCGCCTGCTCGTTTGAGGAAGCGTGGAGGAGGCTTCGGTACTTTTTTGAGTTCAAGCGTTATTTTCGAATATGATTGTCTGCTCCCAATTTCGGACGTGAAACAGAAACAGAACGGAATTGAGCTGAACAAAAGCAGTACTACAACTACTAAATATATTGCAACAACTGCTTCTGCTTCAGTGCCGGATATCCATAGCCATCCGTGTACCATGCCAAGAATTTAGAGGACTAAATGATTGCAGGAGAGCATAGTATTTCAACTATGTAGTGGGCTATAAAACAATTCACAAGAATACTATAATATCATATAATTATAATCACCAGCTGATGTTATTGTATGCGAAGTTACTCCACATTCCCACATCCGCCCGCAATTCGGGATGCGAGTTGTTCCGCCATCGAACATGGCACGTGCGGGCCGATCTATACCAGTCCACAGAGGGGCATCGAATTCAGACTCTCTTCCAGTCAATCCATGTCTTCCAACTTCAGGTTCGGGGAAATGGACTCCAACACTAACGGCCTGGTGGCTAAGCATTTAATAAAAGATATCATCGTCTTCGCCTTCAGC